AAAATGGCGGAATTGCCTTAGATGACCTGGAGGCAACCCTTAGAAAGAATGCCAAGTTGATTTCGAAAATTCTGAGGGGAAAGCTGGGCTATAACAAAAAAAGGGCGCCTCATTTTTTGAGTGGAGAGCAAAACTCTAAATGAATGAATTTTGCAAAAAATAAAAAAAAATTGTCAAACCAGGCTGATTTTTTTCTGTGCCAAAGAATATGTTTTGGCTAGATAATAAATTTTTTTCAGCTCAATTGTATGCCATTTTCATTGCTACTCCGAGAACTTTTGTTAGAACCCTTGTACATGCTTCTCTGTGACAGAATGATTTACTTTTCTGTGCTGGTTTTTCTAGTTGCTTGATTGTTAGAAATGTCTACTCATCTTAACTTGCAGCATTAAAAAAAGTAATCATTCATTTTCACCTGACATGTATCCTATGGTGTGTTTTTCTTTGAATGAGAAGCTTTCTTATCTTTGTTTTGTCAGTTCTAGTTCCATGTAAAACTGTAAAAAACATTCTGGGCACATGGAAGATGCTGCAAAAACTTATTATAATTATAGTTGATAATCTTGAATTTTTTATATTTAATGTTCAATTGTCTTTTGGGTTCACAGAATGGATTATGTTCTTTCCCATCAAAGTCTAAGGGAAAATTGAATTTTGTTGAACTTTTGTCTGTAACCAACCAAGTTTGGTAACTGAGAGTCCACTGTAATAGACAACAGGACCACCCAGAAAGTTTGAGTTATTAAGGCTTGCGAGGGAAAAATATTTTGAGTCAGGCAGTTCAAGGGAGCGTTATTGAGGTTGGAAAGATGATGGAATTTTGTCTATGTTCCACAGACCCACCAATTATCACCATTCACACAGTTAAAGGCATCAGACCTGATCAGATCTTCATCAATTGGACACTGGATGCCGGGAATTCAATCATGAAGAAGATTCTAATCAAGGTGGAATATAAATTCGCGTTTCAGTATGACTTGATGTATTACTGTACCTTTCTGAATTTTTCAGTGGAAACCAGAAGGAGATGGTTCTTGGAATGACGAGAAGAGTATCAAAGGATTGCAAACCTTTGATGTTGTGGATGGACTTTTGGCGAATAAGAAATACGTGTTTCAGCTTGCTGCAGAGAACAGCGTTGGCATGGGGCCGTGGTCTGAAGTTTCTGATGCCTTTGCCACGCCTACTTCTGGTGAGACTT